AACATATACAAACACTTGAAACAGGCATGGCAGTTTCTGTGTGGACAACGGTAATCGAATATTTGTTGTAAACAAATAAATTGCGCCCAAGGGTGTACACCAAAGATCCTATAGCGCCATAGGCCTACGGCACTATACGATCTTTGGTGTACACCCTTGGGCGCAATTTATTTGTTTACTACAAATATTCGATTACCGTTGTCCACACAGAAACTGCCATGCCTGTTTCAAGTGTTTGTATATGTTTGCCAAAGTGAGACATTTTCTGATATTTTGGTAGTGAAACAGAAAACCTATTTTAATTAATTATTTGTTTATTTATTTGTCTATTCATTCAATTATTCATTCATTAATGTATTCATTAATTTCGGTAAACATTCATGGGTAAATTCCATATAAAACCATTAATTTATATATTTATATAACTTATAGGGGTGACAGCACGTGCGCGCATACACTCGTGCGTGAGTGAGCGCTGCGAGACAGAGAGAAATAGGGAGAGTGATTGTGTCTGCGTCTGTGTGTGCGTCTAGATATGGGCTCGGGTAAGTATTTAGTGTGTGTGATCCCATGTGGTGTGTCTGAGTGCGTGTGCGTGCGTGTGTATATGTGCGGACACGTACGTTTTTGTGTTTGCGTTACGTTTTTATGCAATTATATATAGTATAGAATAAATATGTATCTAGATGCATTCGCTGGCACTGTCTTTCAGAAACTGAAAATTTCTAGAAGCGAAATTATCACTATTTCTCGTTCAAATGCACAACTCAAACGGAGAGAAAATGTAAGCTAAAACATCCCCTACAATCACAGCGCTGCTAAATCCAGCGTTTATGAGTTTTAGTCCAATAGATGGCGCGGTGTTGCCGTGTGGTGGACGGTCGTGCGTGTTCACCAGTTCGCTTCCGTCACTTATCACAGCTTCACGCTGCTGCGTTTCCTCTAGGCAGGTAATGCGTAAGTCAGCTTCCTTCAATCTGTCCAGTAGGTCGACATTTTCCGACACCAGTGATTCAACCTGTGTCTGGAATTTGTCGTTCGCCGTGTTTAGTCCCGTAATCTGCCGCTGCAGAACATCTCTCTCAGCGCTAGTGGCGTCAATCTTGGCTGTCGCCTGAGCGACTTGTTCCCGCGATTCCTCCAGCTGCTCATTGACGTGTTTGAGCTCAATCTCTTGCGTACGCGCGCTAGTCTTCAGAACCTCGTTCTCGTTCTCGAGGTTTGTCATGACGAAATCGAGCGCGTCCACCTTTTCACTCAGCAGATCGTTATCAAACAAAAGAGCATCGATCTCCGTGTGCGCTTCTGCTAGTCGGCCGTTCTCCAGCCGTAGCTTCAGGGTGACTTCGATTGCGCCGCGTGTGATCGCCGTGTGCTCGTCTCGGTAGTAACCCAGCCGATGCCCCGTCACGTCCAACTCCCGTATGAGGTCAAGGTTGTCATAGAACAGTCGCCGGTTGTCTTCGCGCAGTGTCGTCACGCACTCGCGGCATTCGTTTAGTTCTAGTACGATGGCTTGCTGCGCCTCCTGCTGCTCTCTCAGACGGCGGTAGAAGGTCTCCGACGCTCTCGTGTAGACCGGCTTTCGGGTTTCGTACCGCTGGGGCGTGCTGCTGGAACGTGGTGGTGTCGACAACAGCGAGTGTGTGGACGAATCGTTGTCGTCTGCAATGCAATGAGGCACGCGTTATTGATTGTGTGTGCGCGTACGTGAGTGCGTACGCACGTGTCTGCGTCGAAAAACGCGTGCTCTCAATAACATCCATATTATTAGGATTGAATATAAGAACAAATCATTATCAAGACCATATAAACCGATTACACTTCTTTTTTTTATTCATTTGCTCTTTATATTATTGTACACACATGATTATAGACCGGTACCCGTTGAGTCATGATCATTAGGAGCGCGCCCTATAACTTGCAGCGTGCAAAACACCTACTTCACCCCCGACCTTCC